TATTCCAGTTCTTTGGTTTTATACTTCGCCCGAAAGCTCCCATTCAAGATGGTGGTACCAAGACTACAGGTGATATATCCAACCGATCGTTGAATAATTGTTACCGAAACAAATCTTAATTTTTCAAAATCGTCGCCAGTGGGATTTGAACCCTAGACCTGCCATTTGGGGGGGGTGACAACTTGCCAACTGCACTATGTCACCACACCCTTACACAAAATCTTAATTTCACATTTTTCTTTTTAACGAGCACTACCAGAGAGCTCCAAGGGCTTTTTGATTTATGAATTATTTTTTTCTTTTCTATTTTAGCAATTTCTTCTTTTATATAATCTTGTTTAATAAGAGATGCTCGATATGCTCTTTGTTTAATAGGATATTCATTTTCTGTATATATATTATAGTAAACTACATTTGTTTGTTTTAATTCAAAGAACTAAGTAGCAAATATATCAGAATTTTCTTTTAAAAAATTAGATAATGTTTTGTTGTATATTATTTAGATTTGATCCTATTAATGTAGTTTTATCTTCAGTGACATTTACTTTGTTGGATGGTGGTGGTTTGTTTTCAGCTTCAATTTCTGGTTTGACTAATTTGAATATATCATTAACTTCCTTAGTTCGTTTATCTTCACTATTCTCAATTCTAATATTAGGCATCATTTTGTTATCAACTTGAAAAAAGGATTTATTTGTTTTGATTCTTGTGGCAAAGTATTTGTCATTATTTAGACCTTCATCTTCCTCTTCTAATTCTAACTTATACTTTTTATTGATTAATTGTTTGTATTTAATAGAATATAGTTGGGTGAGCTTTTCTATTCGATCCCAACAAGTGATAGATATGTAGTCAATATTATCATCTTCACTGATTGATATTAGACCTAGTCTATAGTCAATTACTGTTTTTACTTGATCCAAGTATTCATTGCCAAGAACTACATTATATTCTTGTGATTCTGTTACAATCATATCAGTAAGAATTTCACTTGTTCTAATTTTAACAGAAATATTTTTAACTTTTCCTAAAGAGGTTGACCGGTTGCTAGTAATGTCTACAACTCGAATATTACTTGGCCCATCTATTTGTTTTCCAATTCGGTCCAGAAATTGGTTAGCGATTACACATCCTTTTGATCCTGTATTAATAAGAACATTAACTTCATGACCAAAGATTTGAGCGGTAGAAAATAGAGCATCTTGTATAATTTCTTTTGGCGAGTTTTCTTGTTCTACATTTTGATTTAATCCTTTTATCTCAATATATTTATCATTATCATCCTCTAACCAAATATTATTTATATACTTTTCTTCATTAATATTATTAGTTCCAATATTTATATTGTTTCCATTATTTATATTGTTGTTATCAAAGAGGCTATTATAATAATCCATAAGTTCAGTTTCCAAATTATTTAATTGTTCTTTTAGCAAGAGCTTTAAACTAGTAAACTACCCCAACAGCACCTACACGATTTTTGCTATCATGTAGATCTTGTGTAACATCAATAAATATGATATACTGATAAAAATAATATGTACCATTATTAAATATACATAATTGATATTATATTAAATTTATTATTTTTTAATAGCAAAGCTTGTGATATATTTACTTTATTATTATAAAATACAATTTAACTGTATTTTATTAATATCAACATTGCAAATAAAAGTATTATTTTACTTTATATTTTAAAACTAAAAAAACAATATATGATGATTATGATCTTTCCATGTTCGAGAATTTGTTGTTCTTCTCTTATATATTTCAATATCTGTTATCATTTTTTGTAATCCTGCAAAACTGCTTTTTACAAATTTTGCTCATTTATAATTTTGCTTTGCCTTTTGCTCTTGTACAATTTCAAGCACTTTAATAAGATATAGCTCATAGTTTTCATATAAATCATCTGAGTTATTATCATCACTATTTTCATAATTTTCCAACTCCTCAATACTTTCAATATTAACTATTACATTTGGTTGATTTTCTTTATCTTGTTCAATATTAAATATTGAATTTGTATTTTCTTGAAAAGATTGTGATCATGATACTATAATATAAATTACCTTGTATTAAAATTAAAATTAGATCTATTTTACTTAATAATTAAATATATATTATCTTTTAAAGCTGGTAAAAAAATAAACGGATATTTTTCTTGCCGTTGAACATGACGAAAGAATTCTGAATTTGTATTGAACTTGCATTCGTGTATAAGATGTTTGCAAATAAAGAATCGACTTAATAAAAAAGATTTATAATTGCATATCCATTGTTCAGTATCTACAAAATAAATATTGTTGATATTTCTTTTACTAAGAGCTTGCCATTCAGATTTAAAATTTTTTCGCCATGAAACCTTTTCTTTTTTATTAATATATTTTTGATATTGCACTTGACAATATAGAATAAGCTGTGAAATAATAATTTATATTACTAAATCAATACGTAGATGATAAAATTTAGGTAAATAATCGCGTTTAACTACTTTTCAATGTGATTCAATAAGCATTGTTGTATATAATATACAAATTTCAGTTGAAATTGATGAGTGTGCCCAAAGAATCCACATATTTTTTTGATATCAGTAAGTCCATAAATAGGCCCACAAGTGTTTTAAATTATTATTGATACATAATTGATATATTTCATAAACTGAAGATTCCCAAATTTGTTGATCTGATAAAATATTTCTATTAAGATCTGGAATAAGTGAATGTAAATGAAAATGTTTAGATAATAATTGGTCATAGATCTTTTGCGCAAAAAATAAAGTTATATTTTTTTTGCTCTTTTTTAGATAAATCCAATAATTGAGAATAGAATTCTTTATTAATAAAATTGAATATATTATGAGTGTTATTTGAACTATAAGTGATTGTTCTTGATAGTGTATTATCAGAAAATCATTTTTTGATGGCTTTTTTTAAATGCTATAAACAAATTTGTACTTTCACATTTGGTCAAGTTGATCGAGCAGCAGATATTTGACTGAAGTCTTTATTCGTTAAAAAAAAGGTAATATTATCTATTCCAAGCATTTTAAGTTGCTGAAAAAAATATTTTAAAATATCTGTATATGCTTCATTGTCTTTTTTTTTACTACCAATAAATAGATACACTATTGTGAATCCAGCTCTATCAAATTGTCTAATTATTGAATAGAGCTCAAAATCTAATACATTTGTCTGATCTTTAATTTAAAAATAATTAAATTAATAAAGTAATATTATTAATTTATTAGCTTTAAATTATACTTACATGTTGCATCAACTATGATTTCTTTGTTTTTTAATAATAGATTAAAAAATAGAATTATGAATTCAAGATATTTAATACCCTTTGTAATATTTTCTAGCACAATTGAATAATTATATTCTTCAAGAAGAACTTTCATAGAATTTAGCTGATTATTATTATCATGAACATATTTTTTCTTGATAAACTTATTCCACTATGCATGTACTTGCTTTTGCGTAAGATTAAAATAATTTGACTCTAGCTATTTATAAATATCACTTGGTGTTAAATATATATATTTCTTAATATGTTCCTGAACTACATTATTAATTTCAAATCGCTCTAGTCATTTATGCAAAAAATTATATTTAAGTCAAATTTTTGCAAAGTTGCTATTCATATTAATAGAAATATAAAGTGTGTCTTCACATGCAAATCATTCTATACTATCACGATCTCTTTGCTGCTCTAAATTCTTATGTTTTCAAGGTCTTTTGTTAAGTATTTGACATTGGGAACAATAATACCAGAATGAATGACTTCCAGGAACCCTTTTTAAATCATAACTTTTTTTGTAACTATATAAATATTGACGAATAAATATTTAATACTGTAATATAAGTACAGTATATTTTAATATTATATACTTACATATAATTATATCTGTCCCCTTGTTTAACAAGTTTGGCTATTTTTTTAGAAAGTTTATAGAGATCGTCTATAGTATCTAATTTCAATAAACATGAAAATTCTATTCCTATATTGTCATTTTCTATATAGTTATTAGAGGTGATAGCACATATTTCATCATACAGTTTTGATGATAACTTTTCTAAAAGAATCATTTCTTCTTGATTATCGTCATTATCAGTTTAATCATTATGATTATTAATCTCCTGCTTTTTTATTTTATATATACGTGAAGACTAAGTGTGACTTATAGAACAGGATTTTACTTTTTTTCCAGATTGATTTAAAAACATTGATTTTTCAAGTATCCGATGGTATTTAGTACATTCATCCGTAAGTGAAATCATTTTTGATAGAAAAAAATTTCAATCAAAATGAAATCAAAAAAAGAAAATTATTTATTATATTGTATTTAAGATTCTCTTTTTTAAACTCAGATAAGTTTATATTAAATTATTGTAAAACCATGCTAATAATAAATTAATAGACAAAAAGGTTTCAAAATATGCAATCCCAATAAGTTTCAACATAAAAAAAAATAAATACTATCTTTTACGCTAAAAAGAATAGAGGTTAAAAAAAATATAAAATAGATAAGTAATTAGCTCAAAAAAACTATTAAAATTTTAATATTAATATAAGGTAATCGCTTATAATTAGCTCAAAGAAACTATTAAAATTTTAATATTAATATAAGGTAATCGCTTATAATATTTAACCTATCAAAAATGTAATAATTAACAAGTCTTAAACAATTATCTGGACTAATATAAAATTGAACGGTTTAGAATCACAATCTGTAGTTTGGAAATACGATCTATAATTCAAAACCTTAATTAATATATATCTCAATTTTTAAGTATTGCAGCTAAAGTTGAAAGTTCTAAAATTAGTAATCCCGATCTGAAACACGACTCGAGAAAATTTTGAATAAAATAAAACAAGCGTTACAATAATAAAAATTTAAGTTTTTTTAAACTTTGTGCGATAATATCTCAAGAAATATCTATTTAAGAAGAACGATGAAAAAAAATTTTATTGTTATATTGTTGTTTAAAGTTTGAAAAAAATATATTATTGTTATTGCTTATCATTTCATCAATATTGATATTATACAAGATCTATATGATAGCAAAAATCGTGTGAGTACTGTTAGGGTAGTTCAGGAGATGTTTTTTCTAGTTTAAAAAGTTCATTCTTTGGTTGGCTAAATTATTGTCAGTATTGTTCTGAGTATTGATATGGTTGTGGTTTTCGTAATAATTCAAGAAGTTTTATCGTTAGTCATCATTGTTATTATTAGGCTGCTAGTTATTATTATTGTTATTTATTTGTTAGTTATTATTATTGGAAGACCTAAAGTTATTATTATTGTAATTACAGTATTAGAAGGTTTGTAATTGTTTTGATTTTGATAATTATTGTTAAAGTTTCTATTAGGCTGGTAATTATTATTATTGTTGTTTCTCCAATTTGATTCATTTGATAGTTTTTTGCTATATGACTAATTTGATTACAATTACTACAAATAGGGGCTCGACACTTATATGCCATATATCCTGTGCATTGACAATAGTAGCAAGCATTATTGTTATTGTTCCTAGGTCTGTTATTGTTTTGTTGCCAATTACTGTTGTTATTTGGTCTGTTGTTTCTGTTGTTTTGACTATTACTTTAATTATTATTATTATTTCGACTATTATTATTATTATAACTATTATTTGATGAGGATTGATTTTGTTTTAGAGTCAATTGATTCAACATTTGTTGAGTTGCAGCAAATAACTTTTCATTTACTATATTTTCAACTGAGGGTTGTGGAATAGTACTATATTGGTTAAAAAATTAAGGTTAAAGATTAGAGGGCAACAAGGAATAAGCAGATAATGTTTCTCCTTTTGAGAAAGCATTTTCAAGAACTTTGGCTCTGTCAATAGCTTCATCTAAGGTAGTTGGCATAGCTGATTCTACTGGAATATGAAATTCTTGTCAGAGACTATCAATGAACTGTCTCATTTTATCAGTATTTGGATATATATTTGTTGGATCTACTTTTCTCTATAACTCTTCTAAAGCTGCATTATATTCTTCAACAGTTTTACTTGATTTTTGTTTTTTTGACTGAAGAAAATAGAACCATTGACTTACTCTATGTTGATTTCTAAATTGTCTTTCAAATGATAACTTAAATGCCAAGTTGGGGTTATCATTGTTATGCCAATAAACAAAGTTTGTTCTAGTTTGGTTATATCACATAAGAGCAGTACTTTTTAAGAAATTTGGTACTATAGCTAGCTTCCTAGAGTTTGTGATATTATTAGTATCACAAGCTCTTTCAAAGGATTCAAGCCAAATAATAGAATCATTGTTACCACCTTTAAAAGTTGGTATTTTAACAATTCTCTGTTCTTTAGGCTAAGCAGGATTTGTAGAAAAAAACATAAATTAAACTTTAGTTAAACTTGTAGTTAATCTATTTAAAAATAGCCAAATCATTTCTTCTGCTTCTTCATCTCTTGTTCTTCATTGTGGTAGTGGTTTTTCATGTTCCTCTCTATTTTCTTCAAGTTCTTTTCTATTTTTCTCATGTCCATAATTTGGAACTTGTCTTTGAGCTGTTTGATTAACAAATATATTATCAATGATTAATTATGTCATATTATCATTATTTGGTTGGTTTTAATGATATCTTGTTGGTGCTTATCATCTTCTCCATTATGATGACCTGTAGAAAATGTTTGACATTGTTGTTGTGGTCTACGATCTAAATATATAGTTCGTGGCTGACTGCTAAAAGCAGTTACTCTTGGTTGTGATTGACTCAATGTAGGTATTTGTTGAAAAATTGTATTTATATTATTTAAACTTGCTTTTATTTAGTTTTGATATTCCCTAAACTGGCTTTCTCTTTGTTCTGATGATGTTGGGGATCGTGGAGACAATTGATTGTTTGCTTGTTCAGATTTAGAATCAGATTCTGGGTCTGCTTCAGATTCAGAGTCAAAATTAGAACCTATTTCAGATTGTATTTGAGGTGTATCTACTGTGAAGTTATAAGTGCTTTCAAATTTTTCTAAAAGTTCAGTATTAATTTGGTTAAACTCTTTACTAGGTGTACTTCTGTAATAGTGAACCGAAAGTGATATTGTTTTAATAAGAATTTCTCTATTTCTATTATTATCAGCTAATATAGCATTCTTAAATGATTCAAGAGTATTGGAAGTAATAGAATAGACATTGTATTTAATTCTATACCAATCCCAAAATTTTAAAAAGTCTGAAGGTAAGTTTGGTTGAACTACTACATGGCAGACTAGACAACTAATATCTGGTTTTTTTGAATATTTTTCTTGAGTAAGATAAAGATTTAAGTTGTGTAGAAAGTTGTGTGCTTGAATTTGTAGTTGATATTGTTGAATATTTATATAGTTTTAATAAAAGTAAGTTAAAAAACTGTAGAGTTTTCTATATCTGAATAACTCGTTGATACCATCAGAAGAATGAATATTGTTGTTTACTTCTTGTTCAAATAATTTTAAATTAGCACACTAGGATGGAGTATAGGTTCGAGGCTTTTGTTGTTGGATTTTAGGTTGTAGTTGATAGGGTATGCCTTGAGGGTTATCAATATTAGGTAGTTCAAGATAATAGATAGATTAAATTGTAAGAATATTGAATCCTGGTTTAATTATACGTCTGTTATCTCAAAGGTTAGCAGAAAGAGGTTAAGAATATTTGTTACCCCAACGAAATCCACAAATTTTAGAGTAAGAGAACAATAAATTAGTTTGCTAGGGCGTTAAAGAAGAACCAAATTGTAGTTATAAAATAGCAGATGTAAGCTGTTTAATCAAGTCAGAATATTCCTCGTCAGTTGGGATACGATTGAGATATTTCCAAATAAAATTAAAATAATGTTGAGAGAAAGGTTGCATATAGTATATAAATTAGGAAAAAGAATATTCAAATAGAAATATAAATATATCTAAAATAATAAATATAAAATAATAAAGATATATAAAATATAAAAGTATGAAAAATAAACTAATAAAAATAAGGATATGAAGAGAAAAAGAAAGAAAAGCAAAAAGTAAGTAATTAGAATAGCAGATAGTAAGATATAACGAAAATCCAGGACACTGTTAACCTGGAAAAGATTAACTTTATAGACAGATTTTTAAAGAATTAAAAAAATTAATAGGTGAATAATGAGTTTAAATTCAATAAACTCCAAGATACTATAAGAAGCAATAGGCCGATTTTGGGGCTGTCACCTATTGGTCTTTCTGTGTTAGCCAGATATAACAAAAATTTGTTTGCCCTGTACAAGGATTATTAGCCACTTAAACTTAAAAATATCTGTAGATATAGTTAGAGGAAGAAGTACTAATAACCAGGCTATAATTAGTTGTATATAGCTTTTAAACTCCAATAATACAATGCTAGTACCTGCCAAAGTACTATTCA